ATTCAATGACTATATTTATTGGGTGCCAATATGTACTAGAGACTGGAGTCACGATGGTGAAACAGACACTGTCCTTGCATGCATGAAGCTTACAGATTAGCAGAGTATTTGTGGACAGGAAAATAGGCACTTGCAAAATAAGGTGACCAGTGCTGTAATGTGGTAAGTCCAGGGTGCCATGGGGCTCTCGTGGGGTCACTGCCCAGGCTTGGATGCTCATAGAAGTTTTCTTCAACCATGTCAAGATGAAGAGGATGAAATATGCAGATGATTTAAAAGGTGAAGAAGAACAGTGGAGGATGCTTGCTGATAAGGGCGAGGGGGAAGGGCAGCATGTTCCAGGCAGAGGGGAGAAAATTTTACTGCCCCCAGGGCAAGAAAAGCAAAAGAACTACTTTCTGGATTTTAAAAAAGTGCCCTGATCATTTTTTGACCGATTTCAATACTTTGTAATGTTTCCTAGGCCAGGCGCAGCATGACGAGTAATAGAATACATTTTAGGGTGACCCCCTCCTCCCACCAAGCCTCCGGACCACTCCCCTACTAGCCTTTCCCCTCATTGCCTGGCCTTTCCTTTTGAAAAGATAGCACTGAAGAGGTGGAGAGAGGCTTTTCTCTTTTGAAGCAGCAGCACTGTTAACAGAGAAGGAAAAGTCTCCCCTGAGCTATGGCAAAATCCTGCAGATTGGTTTATGAATCGCTGTAGCTTAGGTTAAAGCCACTTAATTTCCTGAAAGACACCCCATGGCTTTAGCCTTCCAGAGGGGCATAAAGCTTGTATGATATTTACTTTTAGTTAAAATTAAATGGGAATTGAAAAAAAACACAGAAAACCCAAAGAGTTTCTTCTGGGAGATTATATTATTAAAGAAAAAAAAAGGCTACAAAGCAATGTGGATAAGATGTATATATTGCATTAAAGAAGGTTTGGGAATATACATATCCAGGTGTTAAAGTGATAACTATCTCTGAATAATTGGATTTCATGTGATTTTATACCCTTTTTATTGTGAAATACAACACATGTTAGGGAAAATGCATGATATATAAAAGTATAATTTAATAAATTTTTATTAAGTGAACCCTCGCTTAACCACTACCCAGGTCAATAAACAGAATATGGCCCAGGGGCCCTCCATCCGCCCCTTCCCACTGACAACCCACTCTGTCCCTGCTGCCCTTACTTTTATGATAACCTCTTTTTTTTTTTCTTTTCTTTAGTTTTACCACCTAAGTGTATATTGATGCTTATACGTATTTATCTTTTCCTGTTTTTTGAACTTTAAGTAAATGGGAACATAACGATTTTTTTCTCTCTATCTTTGAACATTAGCTTTCGGTCTTTTAACATTAGGTTTCTCAGTTTCATCCATGCTAAGGGTATTGTGGTTCATTCATTTTCAACGCTGTATGGTATTCCAAGGTTAGATATACCACACTTTATCCACTGTACTGCTGATGGGTAGTTTGGCCTGTTTTCAGTTTGGGGCTATCATGAATAGAGTTGCTATTCTTTTGGTGCTCACATGAACATATTTCTATTGGATATGTACCCAGGAGTGGGAATCTGGGTCACCAGATATGCATATCTTTAATAGATAATGCCAGAGAGTTAACCGAACACTGCAGTAGCAATGAACACTTCCTGTAACAGTGTAGGAGTGTCCCCATTGCCCTACACTGAAGTTTTGTGCATTTTTTTCTTTCACTCATCTGAATTTTCTGTGTTTCTCTGTAATAAATATCCATTGGTTTAATTAGGCAAAATGCTTTTCTAATATTTCTTAAATTTGTCTTTCCCAATAGGGATATTATTTTTAAATTTTTAAATTGAAGTAAATCATTCTTACAGAAAAAAGGCACAGATCACAGATGTATGGCTTAATGGATTATCACAAAGAGAACCCACCTCTGTATCCACCACCCAGGTCAAAAGATAGAATTTTCTGGCACCCTAGAAGCCATCTTCATGCCCCCTTCTGGCACAATCCTTTCCCTCCTCATCAAAGGGAAACTATATATTTAGTTTTAACACAATAGATTACTCTTGTGTGGTTTTGAAAGTTATAGAAATGGAACGATATACAGCATACCTTATTTTGTGTGTAGCCTCCTTTATTTTCCAATATTGTGAGATTCATCTGCGTTGATATGTGTAGCAGTAATTCGTTCATTCTTTTCTTGCCGCAAGGAAGAAATATTGACCTAAGATAGCTGACCTACTCAGCACTTTTTCAACTCATGGACTGTACTGACCCATGCCACATGTGGATTAGAACACTTTACAGTCGTTTGTATTTTTGTTTCTGCACAAATAATAAGCTTTTGGGTGAGAGATGCTGCAGGGAGAATGAATGTGGTACCTCTGCCCCGCCCCCGACCCAGCTGCCCTCTGATTTCTGTAATAATGGCTCCACTTGGAATTGTCTCTCATTGATAATGGATGTTTTCTGTGCCTTCTTCTCCATCTAAAACACAGAACAGTATCACATCCCCAGGCTGCGTACTTTTATGTAAAACAGAGCTGTCACAGGATTTTACTGGAAAGTTGATTTATTTCTGAGGATCATGAGAGTCCAAGGATAAAACTGGCATCTGGCCACAGGGAGAGCCCTTGACCTAGAAGCAGAGACAGCTTCAAAGCTGTGTTGGTATATAATGGAACAGGGCACTTTTAACATGAATCATAGCCTCAAAACTTTCTAGGGGAAAAAAAATCCTAAAACTGTCCTCCAAAAGGAAAGGTAGAATCAATAGCTTAGATTTTTTACTCTTTCAGATAAGCAATGCTAAACCCTTCTACACGAAACAGTTGTTGAAATCTAGCTTTTTTTTTTTAAAGAACAAAGCGTCAACTGAGCTTGAACTCTTAAAGCAGAATCTTGATATCAATCTATTTTCCTAAAGTAGCCAAACAGGCTTTCAGATGGTAACTCTCTGAAAGGCTGCATGTGAATGTGTAGTAAATGTAATTTTTCTTCTTCTTTTTTTTCTTTAGGCCTTGAGATGTAATTATTAAAGCTGCAGATGTCCCTAGTGATATTAGCTAGATAATCAAATTTGGATCACAGGAATGAAATAACCTAAAGTGTGCCTTCATTACTGCTCTCCTCCAAAGAATTCACTTAATTCTACCCTCCCCCACCCACAAATCTGTAACCAGACAACGGAGATAGTAAAATTAGCCAGAGGGGTCAAAATGGTCAGATGGATTCTCAAAGCAGAGAACGCCATGTTTAAACACAACAGGTAAAAATTTCCCCACCACAAAAGTAGAAAAGAACATTGATGAAATCACAAGCAGAAAAAAACAAATCAAAATGCTGAACAGAACTGCCAGATTAGGAGACCTTATTGCTAAAGTAGCTATGAAGCGTACCGATTAGCTTTCTTAAAAAAAAAAAAAAAAAAGGTAAAAATAACATTTCTTAAATAGCTGATTGAGAATAGTTTTTATTAGTAAACATATGTACCCACTAGAAAAATTATCTATGAACGTATAGGTCATTTGAACAAGAATATAATCAGTCTTGTAGAAACTTAAACTAAGCAAAATCAAGATTTTATCAAATTGAGCAGTTCTTAAGTGTTTTTGTATCCTTTCTTTCACTAAGAACATAAAAATCCCCTTTCGTTCCCACCCACCCTTCTCTTGAATCGAGGCTAGGAGAAATTCTTCGACCAGAAAGGCTCAGGGTAGGAAGTTATTGCATAAACTCCCTGTTCTCTTTTGCCAATGCTTTTTAATCCCTATGTACCAATCTTCCCTGCTATTTCATGACAAGAGGATCCCAGCTGTGCCAGATTGTGTGATAGCTATATAATCTAGACACAATCCACAGGGGTTTAGAACAGAAATTAACAAATATATGTAAGCCTGAAACCTTAGCTATAAAGAATATCTACCAGTTTCCCAGACATTCATAGGCCAGTCAGAGATTCCATCATCTTGCTTTGTAAAAACCCAAGAGTGAAGATTACTATGAGAAAGGTCTTCTAGAATTAGATCTTGCTTATCACAGAAATGTCCACCTTCTGTGGGTGCTAAAGCAGAACAAACATTGAACTGAGAAATAGATGTCTTGGGTTCCAGTACTGAATCTGCCATCAACCAGTTGTATAATCTCTGCCAATTTCCTGCAACTCTTTGGCGGAGATTCCTGTCTATAAAATGAAAAAAAAAAAAAAAAAAAAAAGAACTAGATTCTGTAAGGATCCTTCCAGGTCTAGTAGTTGCGTAAGTGATATTTCTAGACCACAATTAAGTAACAGACCACCCTCTCCCCATTATTCCACATCCACTTGGATTCATCAACACTTTTTCTTTCTTGCTGATGCACTGGGAGACGGTGTTGGGACTGGGAACCTAACTCATTTCCTGGTACCCATCTCAGGTCACGTCTTAGATGCGGAGTCAACTGACTATGCTTTAGCATCCTATCTCCTTAGGTTCCTCTTAGAGCAATCCATTATCATATTTGGTCCTTTTTCTGGCATTGGAATTCCCATGCTATTCTATGGAAACATTATGCCAAAATGAAAAGTATGAGAATGGCTAAGTATAGAGCTCCAGGCTGCCATATATGTTTGTGATGCTCCCTGGAAAATTTGGAATCCATAAGTAAATGGATCATACTCCTTTTAACCTTTGAGAGTTACCACATAGATCATGTCAGTGTTTAATACTTGTAACTAGAGCTCGGAGGACAATTTGAAATAGTACGTTTTAAGACATCATCAATGAGACCTGACATGTGAGAGAATCTTCCTGCACGAAGAGCTACAGTGAATGCCACATGGAGGAGCTGCAAACTGGGAGCAAATCCACTCCATCCTACTATGAGCCCTTCCTGTTTTGTCAGCCAGCACGGTTTCCTAAATCTCAAATTGCAGCCGAACTGTTCTGCAATTCCATGGCTAGCTATTTTGGGAGCCTAACACAGCAGGACAAATGTGTACAAGTCCACACAGTATGACAGAAGAATTAAAAATGTATTTACCATCTGTTGGTAGTTTCCTTGTGGGGCTCTTTTCTTTTCCTCTCCTGAAGCCACGAATCGGGTCTTCTTACTTCCTGCTGTCCTCAGAGAGCAGAGTTCTGTCTTCAGATCTTTGGAAATGCAGGGCTTTTTTCCCCCTCCTTTAAATTTCCCAGACTGTTGAACTCTCGAAGTATTTCCGCTTCCAGGATCGTTTCCCTCAAATATAAAGTGGAGTGAGTCTGTGAAGAGGTGGTAGTGTTTTATACTTTTTTGTGTGGCCAGGTTACTTTCAGATCCTACACCTGAGTTCTGGTCACAGTGGCCTCTGGGAAGTTCAAGGGTGGAACAAGAGAAGTCAAACACAGGTCAACTGAAAGGAAATTAAGTCCTTCAATTATGGGAATTCATGTGGGCCCTTTACAATCTATTTTGACCTTACTATAGTGGGATGTACCAGATTTGAGTCAAAATTTCTAATAGGAAAGGGTCCTTGAATGTGACCATGGACTTCAAGTGAGAGTCATTCCAGCCGTGTAGCAGTGTGGATAAAAAGTCATAAGCTGGAGTATAGTTTTGTTAGTTGGGTAACCAGTTAGGTTGCTCTGAAGCCACTTGGTTTATGTAGGAATATTCAATCCTCAATAAGAATCACTAGCTTTCATTTCTGAGATACATGTATTATTCACTCAAAAATAAAATCTAATAGAAATTAGTATTAAAAATGTTGCTTTAGCCAAAATATTACAATATTACACTGCAGTGTTATGACTCCACCTGGCCTGTTTCATTCAGGTAATGACTTGTTAAAAATTCTCAGGCTACGTAGGTGGATAACTTCACCTTGAAACCAGTGCTGGGTGACCTTGGACCTTGGGCAGGTCCTTTAAACTCCAAGCCTCAGTTTGATCGTCTAAGAAATGGGAAGCATGATCTTCACCTCACCGGACTGTGGTGGGGATTTAGATGAAACGACACGTGCAAAACCCTTACCATGTTGCCTGGCATAGAATAGGAGCTTGATAAATGGTAGCTTTTAAAAATGATGATTATTGGAAGCTGTAGCTGTGCTACTTTCTGTTTGTTCTCAAAACTTGCTGTCACGTTTGTACATGATTTTCAATTCTGGTTTCAAATTTTGTGTTTTAAAAGTTCTTCACAAATCTGAGTCTGAATGTGAAATTCAGCTCATTCCAACTCAGTCTTAATAGGTATACCAGATATAATTAAGTCAAAGATCAAGTAAACAGAACATCTACCATAGTGTGGACAAGATGCATTGGTTTTGGATTAGCTTCTAATGAGGGAATTGTTGTGTTGGAGCTTAAGGCTTTGCACATAGTAGGTCCTGAAAAATATTACTGATTCATTAATTCATTTAATGGTTGATGAATCTTTAGTGGGTGTCTGTCATGTGCCAAGGACTCTTCTAGATGTTTGAGGTTTATCAGTGCATAAGACAGACACAACCTCTGCTCTCCTGACAGTAAACAAACTAAAGGAAATGACTCTGAAAGTTCTAAGGTAATATACTGATGGAATAATAGAGCAGAGCAAGGTGGATCAGGAAAGTCGGGGTACAATTTTAAGTAGGGTGGTCAGATGCGGTACGCGGGCCTCTCACCGCCGCGGCCTCTCCCGTCGTGGAGCACAGGCTCCGGACGCACAGGCCCAGCAGCCATGGCTCACGGGCCCAGCCGCTTCACAGCACGTGGGATCCTCCCGGACCGGGGCACGAACCCGTGTCCCCTGCCTCGGCAGGCGGACTCTTAACCACTGCGCCACCAGGGAAGCCCCTGGGAGGTTTTTAGTTTGCTTTTTTTTTTTTAAGAAAAGAAGACTGAAGAAGGCGAGGGAGTGAGCCATGTGGATATTCAGGGAGAAGCATTCCAAGTGAGGGATCAGCAAGTAGAAAGGCCCTGACGCAAGGGAGCACCTGGCTTGTTTGGGGCTGGAGCTGTAGGAGGGAGGGGAGAGAGGACATGGGATCTGGAAGACAGAGGGCACCCTGATTGTGTGGGGCCTTGGAGGCCATGGGAGGATTTTGATTCTGACTCCAAGTGGAAGAGAGACATCAGATGCTTTGGAGCAGAGCTGTGGCATCACCTCATGCAGATGCTCAACTATGGCCTGAGCCGGACATGGTGGAAGCAGAGAGATGATTTAGGAGGTCAGTGCAATCGTCCTGATGAAGGGTGGTGGTGGTTCATCTCCAGTGGTAGCAGCCCAAATGGTGAGAAATGGTCAGATTCTGGATACAGAAGGGACAGCCAACTGGATTTTGGGGCAGATTGGATGTGGGGTGTGAAAGACAGAGAGGAGTCAAGATGCTTTTTGGCCTGAGCAGTTGGAAGGATGGAGCTGCCATTTACTGAGACATGTGTGCAAGAACTGTATGGTCCGTCTCTTGGTGACTGTTAGAGAAGAGATACCTCGGGATTCTGGGCTCAAGTGTAAGGCCTCCCTCCACCTTCTGGGGAAAACCTCGTGAAACCAATGAGCTTCCAGTTGTGCTTTTGGAAGATGAGACTCAGAAAGACTGAGGTATTCACAAGCAATTTTTAAGACTCGAGTGAACAGTTTAAAACAAAGCAGCAGTTTTTGGGGTTGTATTTCCTCCTCCATGCCAAACAATTGATTTGGCTTGTTTAGTCTCTTCCTCACCCCACTCCACACATTGAAATGCCACCTCTGAAGAGGAGAGCAGCAGGTGCATCCTGGCACCAGTAGACGGAGCCAGGGAGCCCTGGGAAGACCTTTGAGCTGAGGCCCAGTCTGGGAGGACACCACCCTCTCTCAGACCTGCAGCAACGTCTGAGCCTCTGGGCCAGAGGCCAGATGTTTCTGGGAGGAGGGGGAGGTGCTTCTAGAACTCTCTTGACAACTTTCCTATTCCACTGAAACTTTTGTATATTGGTACTGTCATGGCTAAAAGATGAAACATGCATCCAGAACTGATTACCTATGTGTATCTATAGAGGAGAGTGGGCCATATATGTAAATAAAGAGAAGAAAGAAGAATGCAACAGAGCTGTCACCACGGCTCTCATAAAAAGGGTGTATGAGTTTCCTGGGGCTGCTGTAACAAATAAGCCCAAACTGGGTGGCTTAAAACAAGAGAAACAGGGCTTCCCTGGTGCCGCAGTGGTTAAGAATCCGCCTGCCAATGCAAGAGACACGGGTTTGAGCCCTGGTCTGGGAAGATCCCACATGCCGTGGAACAGCTAAGCCCGTGTGCCGCAACTACTGAAGCCTGTGCTCTAGAGCCCACAAGCCACAACTACTGAGCCCGTGCTCCGCAACAAGAGAAGCCACTGCAGTGAGAAGCCCGCACACTGCAAGGAAGAGTAGCCCCCGCTCGCTGCAACTAGAGAAAGCCCGCATTCAACAACGAAGACCCAATGCAGCCAAAAATAAATAAAACAAATAACAAAACAACACAAAACAAAAACAAGAGAAATATATTCTCTCACAGTTCTGGAGGCTAGAGGTCCAAAATCAAGGTGTCAGCAAGGCTTTGCTCCCTCTGAGGCTCTAGGGAAGAATCCTTCGTTGCCTCTTCTAGCTCCTGGTGGTTGCTGGCCGTTCTTGGCTTTCCTTGGCTGGTGGCAGCATAACACCAAGCTCTGCCTCTGTCTTCCTGTACCCTTCTTCCCCGCCCTGTGTCTCTTCGGTTTCTGTGCCTCCTCTTCTTAGGAGGGCAGCAGTCATATTGGACTCAGGATCCACCCTAATCCGGTAAGGCCTCATCTTAACTAATTACATCTGCAAAGACCCTATTTCCAAATAAAGTCACACTCACTTTCCTGGGGCCTAGGACTTCAATATATCTTTCGGGGAACACAGTTCAACCTATGACAGAGGGCAACAGGAACTCACGTAGAGAACTGACCAGTGGGGGGAGCCACAGAAATGGAGCAATAAAAGGAAAACAGTTACATGTGAAATCGTAAGTGGAGGTCAAATGGGTTTGGGAGTATAGGAACTATTAGATAAGAGATGCTCTCACTTAGGATAATCTCCATCTGTGCTTATGGCCCTGATTTTTTTTCTGTCAGAGTTAAGAAAATATATATTGTATAAATAAAAAGAATAAGAAAATAGCACTTCTCTGACTCACACATTGGGCAGAGCTGCAAAGTCTTGTGATAATCAGGGAAGACTTGCAGAAGTGCTGGTGCTTGAGCTGGGTCCTGGAGGGTGGGGAAAGATCGCCATGCAAAGAAGGGCTTCCCAGGTAGAGAGAAAGTATATGCGAAAGCACAATGTTGTCTAGGTGGTCCACTCTTTACCGCCTTAAGTGGGGTGAAAAGGTCTCTAAAAGCAAGGCCCAGATTGTCTACTTAATCTGTATTACTCAGAAACGGTATTAAAGAAATGAAGGGGCAAGAATGTTTCTGGTTTTAATATTAAATGCACAAATCAGCACACAGTAACCTGAAAGAACATTCGGAGCATCTCTAAGGCAGAGTTCATTCTTGGACACATTTGCCAAAGCACAAATATGGAAACCCCACCCTCAGCCAGATCTGAAGAAATCAAAAGGCTGATGTGGTATAAATTCCTCTGCCCTGATTGCATAAAGGAGATCTGCCAACATTTTTGTCTCTGATATATTCCTTTCTGCACAAAGAGCTGAACTGGGTTCTTAAAAACCTGATCGTGAACTGCGATAGGCAATTCTGAATCCCCACCAGGATCTAGGAAAATTAACTCCTCACTGATCTTCCTAGATAAGCACCCCAGCTCCCCACTTCTGAGATCTGCATCGGGATCTGCCTAGGTTTCTGTCACAGAGCAACTCCCTTTTTTGGCATAAGAATGTACAGGATGCCTGTAAAGTTCACACTGGGTCATCTAAGTCTCTTTAAATGCGGGATGATTCATTGCTGGGGGTGGGGGAGAGAGGAGAGTGAGGGGGAAGGAAGTGCTGAGCAGAGAGGCGGAGCAAAGTCATTATGAAATTGACTGCAGAAAAGCTCCCGCTGGGAGTGCTGGGGTCACATGTTCTTACTATTGGTATTTCAGCTACAACTTTTAAACCAGAGATGGGGGAGGGGTTGGAAGGCATCACCTTGTAACTTGATCGGCTTTCAGAGGAGATGCATCCGATGATACCTGGCCTATTGATTAGAATTACAGCGGAGGATTAATGTCTCTTTTTATCTGACAAAGAAGAAAAGCTCTCCTATGACAGTAGGTTAGCAGCCTAAGAATCTGGCTGTAGTGGTGTGAGTGAACAATTTGTCTTCTCCCACTTGATTGACTCCCATTCTAGCTGACAGGGTCTCCCATTCTGTGCATTCATTTTGTACTTAAAAAGGGATTGTTTGTAATTTACTGTTGAAGTCTGAGTGCTATTATTGTGCTCCGTCAGAAAGCATCTGTGACCGGCGCTATCGCTTCATGTCTGTGCCATGGCACAAAGCAAATCCGGATCTGCAGTCATCAGTCTTGAGAGCCCCCCCAAAGTCGCCCAGCAGTTATACTTTGGAGAGGCCTGACGGACACGGGTTCTGCAAATGCCGAACTGCCTGACAACCCCTGCTGAAATCCTGACAGGGACAGTCTCCTCTAGCTGTTTATGTCAAAAAGCGAATTGCCAATGCATTTTTCTCTGACTCTTCCTCTTCGGGGTAAACTTGGTAAATTCCTCATAAAACAGTTGTCTTAAACCCTGACCCTCATTTGGATCAGCTTTTCCTAGCCGGTATTGACTCAAGAAAAATAAAGTAACTGTGAGAGCTTATGCTATGTATTTTAATGTCATGAAGTTAGAACAACGATCTGATGGGGTTTTTTAGTCTGTTGTTGCCCCTGATCTTAGTTTGAAGGCACCCTAAGCTTTACCCTCACAACCCATCAACTATCACTATCTTAAGTGTAAACAATGGTGGCTTTGGGCTCTGATTTTATTTTATTTATTTATTTTTTGGGGGCTCTGATTTTAATTTGGAAAATGTATTTCTTTTGAGGAAACAAAATGCCAAGTTGTTAATGAAATGCTTTTAATAGATTTCCAAATGCTTGTGGCCAATACCAAGCAAAGTTCAACTCACTCATTCCAAGCCTTAAAATGTTGTTCATTTTCTTTTCATGTAAGAAGAACTATGTTCTATAGATGATTAAGACCACAAACTCTTGTTATTTCATAGGTCATTGCATTACGTTCAATGTCGGACATAGTTACATTAGTGAAAATGTGTCTAGGTCTTGCTTGCAAAATAAATAACAACGGTTAAAAATCATCTCATTTCCTTTTGATGTGTCCTATTATACTAAATATATTAGAAACTGTTTAACAAACAAACAGATTTCCTTTTGGTGGCTTTGATTTGTTTTCTAGTGAAGTAGCAATAGTATACTTTTCATTATCCATGCCCAAAGCCATCTGTCATTAAAAGGTATCACCCCCAACCATTCAGCCTGTAACCAGCTGTAACTTCAGAAGGCTTGTGCTTTCTAAAACAGAGAGCAAAATTTCCATTAGCTTTCCAGGCTGGCAAAGTATTTGAGGACTCCCCCACCCCACCTCAAGAGACTGAATCTAACGAATTTTTAGTCTAACAGATAAGCCTAACAGATTTTTGTTTTCCAGGCCCACATCAGGTCTACCAAGGAGATTATGCCTTCACCAATAGCTTACTCTCAGAGATCATTTTAACAGGGGGTAAGGTGCATGTTCTATACTGCAAGGGGGAAACCTCAGGAAGGCAGAAAAGTAATTTAAGTTACTACTACACTACTGCCAAGAGCCATGCCTAAGGTCTCCAATTATGGGTTCTTAGAACTAATTCCTTCACCTTCCCAGCCCCATTGTTAATACCAGGGCTGTCTACTAGAAATGTAATGGACACATGTCATTTTAAATTTTATAGTAGCCACATTAAAAAGTAAAAAGAAACAGGTAAATTAATTTTAACAAGATTTTTATTTAACCTAATATATGCAGAATATTTTCATTTTAATATTTAATATATGTATATGTGCATATGTATGCGTGTGTGTGTGTATGTTCTAAGTCTTTAGAATCTAAGGTAGATTTTACAATTACAACCCATCTCAAGTGCTTAATAGGCATATCGGACAGTACAGACCTATATACTAAAGCATTTGCTTTTAATTGTAGACAGAATCTTATTTAAAATTGCCTAATGTGTGTACTCTTAAGTCATAAACTGTTGGCAGATGTTTAAATACAATGATTTTAATTTTACTCTTGACTATTGGTGATGTCACTTTCATTACCCAGAAGCCTGGGCTGCTATAGTTTGGTGGAGGGTCAAGAAAGCTGATTCAGAAGCATGTCCTTTAAGAGTCTCTGTGCCTCAAACAGAGCCCGGTGACTTCAGTTTGGGTGTGGCGAGCTGACCTCAGAGTCTATTGTGTGAGTGGTTTTCACTTCTGTTTTTAGTTTATTTTGCTTTTCTGGTCTCTCCAGCTTTATTTGGAAGTACAATCTAAGGAAAGTATATTGGTTTTGCAGGCACACTATGATTTGCTCAGATTTTTAAATGACATATGTGGGCTAACACCCTCCTTATAATACCATGGTTAAAGGTCTGTCAGTGTATCCATTAAAAATTCAACTTTGGGGTATTTATTACACAGCCATAACAAATTGCTCCAGGCCAAAATTTGGCAAATCTTTCTTTAGCATAGGAGGAAATTCTTTTTAACAATTTTTTAAGAAGCTATAAATAATTAAATGTTTATCATTTAAATTCACTCATGTGATTTTGTTTTTTTGGATAGACAAGGCATTCAGACAAAACATATGTTGTAACTTTACATTTTGTTTTACAAATTTGCAGTATTAATATTAGCTTTATAAATAAATTTTGCCGATGATTTACACAGTTGCCCTCCCACCACCCAAATTTTTAATGATCCTAGTATTTGATTCTCATATTTGGAAGTCGGATCAATATACTGATTCCGAAAGGTACTGGATCCATCAACTACGAATCTTTAAGTTTCATCATGGTAAAAACAGACATTTTTCAAAAGATAAGATTTGTTTTCCTGTGAACTCACTGCAGACGGAAATGTCTTACTCATCTTTATATTCTCAGGGCCTAGTTATTGTAAATGCACAGTGAACGGCTGGTGGTAAATAAGTGATAAACACATAAAAAACATAGCTCAAGAATGAAGCCTGTCTCTATTCGTAAGTCTCATTTAAATATTCACTTATTAAATACTCACTATCTAATAACTTTGAAAAATCTTTGAAACTGTAAAGACCTCTATGATTTCCCTCATTTCTGAACAACTCAATGGATTATTGTTATTATTGAATGACCCAATGCTACGCAGGCACGAGCCAGTTCCAAAACATCCTGTCTTATCCACCTCCTGGGAGCATTTGAAGATGCAGTGTGGAAGGGCTGTAAAAAGTATGAAAAGCTACAAAGGTGCAATTGAAATGTAAATCCTCTCCACTGCAAACATGAAAGATAAACCCCTAAAATTACTGTGAAAGTCAACATGGTGAGAAGTACCTATACTTTTACCAACATATTTGACTCCAAATGAAGTGAACTTATCTGATGTAGTATTGGGTTAACTGACCCCCAAGGTTTTTAGATAAACAGGAGTGACTCTCACTTGCCTTACTCTGTGTTGTGTATCTTTATTTTTCCTTGCAGAAAAGCTAAGGCATCTTTTTCAAGTATGACTACCGAGGTCCACTTTCTTTTAAGAATTCAAGCCTAAAACTCTAAATAATTATATCTATATTCTATTTAACTTCCAATCCATTCAATCATTTAGTTGTTACAAGCTGCTGAGCCGTTTGTGTTTGCTTGTCTTTGTTTTGCTTTGAACTATGTAAGAGGCTACTTCCAATGAAGACATATACTACATTTAAAAAGCCCTTACAATGTGGAGGGCCCGTACACTTGCTTTATTAAGTACTCTTGTGCTCCCTCTGCTGCCCTGAAGAAAAGTTTCATGTTCAAGACCCTGGTATATTCCTTACAGAGTGTTCTCTTGGCAATGATGATGCAGATTTGTACATAAATCAGGGCCCTTCTGAAATGCAGTACTATTTGACCAAAGCATAAAATGTAATAATTTTTCATTTTAAAAGTGCAAATTAATAAAAGGGGAAGGGAATAAAAAAGAATAAATAGAATTAAGTTCTGCATCTGTGGCCAAATTCATCTAGACAGAGCCCTGTAGTATAGACAGTGTTCTTCCTACTATAATGCACTCAGGAATCACTGTGGGGTGGGTGGGGGGGCGGGGAGAAGGGAGCTGGTTGAAACACACATTGGGATTCCGTAGGTCTGGGGTGGAACTCTCATTCTGAATGTCTAAAAAGCTTCCAGATGCTGCTGGTGCTGCTTTGAAGACTATGCTTTTAGAAGCAAGATGTGATATGTAATTGTATGATATAAAATATACTTGATAGGCCATTTTAAACCTTCAAAAGTAGACATTACCAAAACAGTGAAGTAGATATAAGAGTGTTTAAGCAATGCAGAACCCAGATTAGGAGGATGGCTCAGCGAGCCTTATTTCTCAATTTCCTTTAATTTCAAAGTTCGACTTACACTTGCCTGAATATGGTATCAGGTTTATGACTAGGAGCATAGTACTACATCTTTGCTTACTGGCTTCTTGAAAACCCTGCTCTTCTTTCATTGAGTTTTTTTTTTTTTTTTTGCATGAGAAAGTATTGTTTTTAAAGAATCAAGGCCAGTTACTTGTGACTGTACATTTAAAGTTTTGCCACCTGAAACGACAACATTTCAGTACTAAAGGTAGTGAAACTGTATCATAAGTATTATGTTTATGTTGGACCTTGCAGGAAGAAATAGTTACAAATTTTAATGGCAGTTTCTGGCTTTAACCTTAATGCCTAAGTAAGTAAATGACACAGTTCTTAATTGTTCTGTTTGGGTAATAAATGTATTTAGCTTCCTTGAGGGAACATTTAAATTAACTGACTCACTCGAATCTGAGTTATGTGTTTTAATGTGTTGAAGGTTGTTAAAATATGTAATAATGAAAATATTGCTCTTTTTTTAACCCCAAATTCTCTAAATGTAAGATGTCTAAAAATAGAGTGGAGGTGGATGGGACAGTCTGCAGATTAGGAGTTGGAATGAAAACATCTCAGTTAAGCCAGAAACTTGGCAACCAATATTTTCTGTTATAAAAATATTTTAGATGAATTAATTTTTTTATGAAAGCTGTCTGAAACTGAAATGAAGAGCAGAAGTTCTCTGTTTATTCACAGGCCAGTAATAACAATACCTGCCTCAAAAAGCATACGTCTTTTTCGTGCAGAGCTAGCAGCTTCTGCTCCTTTCAGAAACCGGCACTGCCGAGGGGGGAAAGATACATTACTACCCGGTTGCGTTCTGAGATATTAACCTTCACCTTGATAATGCTTGTCAGGCAGAGCCTTTTCAGGAAACTGATTTTAATTGTCCACTAGAGGCTGTAATGAGACCAACAATGTCACTTTAGACCAACCTGGGGCTTAAACTGTAACCATCATTGATTTTTAAGTGAAAAAAAAAAAAGTTGTAGAAACGAGTAAACAGTAGTAGTAGGTTCTTTAAAAATAGCCATGTATATGTGCATGGTATTTCAAAATGTGAGAAAAAAAATGATTTCCGGGGCTCTACACCTTCCTAGCTAGGGTGCTGATTTTTATTTCTGCAGCACCTTGGCTCTATAATACAGTTGTTTAAAAGCTGACACATTTCTGTTGGTGATTCTGTATCCTGCTTCAGTTGGTGACTAACCGTTAGGTCATAAGTAAATTCAGCCAAAAGGTTTCTCAAATACAGCTTCCAGTCAAGTGGAGGCTTCCAGAGAAAAACTTACGTTGTAAGGATCGTATTTCTAGACACTTGGTTCTAAGCACCTGAAAGAGGTCAAATGCTGCCCCGACACCTACCGGTCTTCCAGAATTATCTGCAGCCAGGAAAACGCCGCACTGAGCTCCCTTTAGCATGGCCGTGCCTTCTCTTCCTCCAGGTGCCACACCTGTTGGCCAGGTACCACCCCTCCAAAGAAGAGTCCTTCCCTTCCAGCTAACGCCTGGCGGTGGTACCCACGGAGGGACGGGGTGCCGAGGAGTTGAGAACCGCACTTAAATTTGAGTCCAGAGGAAGTTCTCCGGCGCGGATTCACGAGAACTGCCATCTGATGCTCGGTTTGCTTTCTCTATCTCCTACACTGGTTGCCTCATTTCCGATGAAATTAATGATCCCGAATTAGCGGCGAGAGGAGTGCGCGGATCGTCTACCCAGGGTAAAGCTGGGTAGTTCCATACCCAGAGCAGATTTCCGGACCTGCAGAAAGAGAAGGGAGAGCAGGGAGGTCACCAGCTTTCGTAGGCAGGAAAGGTGAGGGTGCATGTGCAGACAGGGGGACCCTTAAAACTTTCCTGAGTTGCACGCCAAGACAATCCCCGCGGCTCGGTGGGCTGGCTTCCGGAACGCTGAGGCTAAACCGGTTTGAGGGTTAACATGCGTGAAGATCGGAGTCAGCCCTCTTAGTCGCTTGTCGGCGCGCCCAGGACGAAGGGAACGTCGGGATCAGAATTGGCCCACCTCCTCTCCCACTTGGGGTATTTCATGGTCTCCGACTTGCAGCTCGACAGCCCTCGGAGAGTCCTCCAGGGTCCCTGAGTTGCACCCCGCTGTCGCTCTGTCCCCTCCAACTAGATGCAGGGACCCGGGAAGGCGCGCGAGGACCTACCGGTCACCGCTAAAATTACCTCATCGCTTCAGCTCCCCGCCCCTTTCCCAAACCTGGAAGCACTGTCCCCTCCGGCCCCGGTCACCCCTCCCGCCCCGCGGCCCTCGATCCCGAGCCGGTCTTGGGGAAACGCGCCCGCCTCCCCGGGGGCCTCCGAGCCCGGGCTGCGCGCACCGAAGGGTTAAGGGCGCGGACCGGCCGCCGCGCTGTGCGCTCGCCGTGCTCAGAGCTGCTCGCCCCGCCGCCCGCCGGAGGGTGCCCCCCCCGCCCCCCCGAAGTCGGATCCCAGAGCTGCGGCGGCGGCAGCCAACTGCTCCATATTTGGCTTCTATTACACATTTACATACTGGAGCGAGCTAGCGAGCGAGCGCGAGAGAGCGCGAGGGAGGGCGGGCGGAGGGAGGAGGGAGGGGAGACGAGCGGGGGGGGGGGAGGAGGAGGAGGAGAGAGCAGAGTATACCGCAGACATCATTTCTACTACAGTGGCGGAGCCGTACAGGACCTGTTTCACTGCAGGGGGATCCAAAACAAGCCCCGTGGAGCAGCAGCCAGAGCTACAGCAGCCGCAAGACACTGTTTCTCTCCCTCTGCCCCCCCTTCCCCACGCAACCCCAGATCCATTTACACTTTACAGTAAGTGGCTATTTTTTTTCTCCTCCGATTCTTTCTCTCCCCCCTCCCCCATCTCCTTCTCCCATGATTTAGATTGAGATTCCCCCCCCCACCCCCGCTCTCCCTAGAGGGGCAAAAGCAACAACCAGGAAACAAACCCCAAACCCCATTCGGCGAGACGGAAAACAGCTGGAAGAGGAGCGAAGGAAATCGACGCGTTGTGTTGTGGTGTGTGTTTGTGTGTGTGTGTGTGTGTACATACACCCTTCCCCGGCTCCAGCTTCCCGGGCCGACATCCCCGCTCTGGGAGCAGGGACAACTGGCAGGAGGGCTGCAGGGGCTGGGTGGGCGCCCGCCAGGCGAGGGGGCGCGCCCGGGCTGGGGGCACGGGCGGGCGGGGAGAGCGGCGGCGGCGGCGCCCCGCTACGGCGGCTGCCGGTCCGGCCGCGAGTGCGGAGAGCCATGTCCTCCTCCCTGGAGGTGGCGTAGGGGGAGGAGGAGGCCGGGGGTCGCGCTGCCCCCTCCTCCCGCCGCCCCCTCCTCACTCCTCTCCCCGAAGAGGGCGGCGAGAGCGAGCGGGTCTGGAGAAGGGCTGGGCTTGCCCGCGGGGGCCGCCTGGCCTCGGAGCCCCGGGGTGGGGGGTCTCCCCGCGGAGGCCGGCCTGGCCGGGCGTGCGGCTGCGGACCGGGAAGGGTCTGCGCCCGCGGCCGCGCCGGGACTTCGCGCGCGTGGCCGGGCGTAGAGCGGTGGGAGAGCGGGGGGCGCTGAGGGGTGGGTACTGGGGGAGCGGGTGTGCGGTGCCGGGAGCGCGGCCGGAGTGGCGGTGGCGGCCCTGGCTGCAGCTGCCGCCGCCGCCCTGTTGGTACGGCAGCTTCCTGATCATGTGCAGCCGTCGCAGCGGCCCGGAGCCGGGAGCCCGCGAGCGCCCCAGCCCGGGCCGGCGCCCCCGCCAGCGCCCGTGGCCGGAGCCGGGGAGCCGTGGCAGGCGCTGCCCTGCCCGCGCCGGAGTGAACGGCTGTGCGGCTGCTGGGAGGGTGAATGAAGCCGGGAGGAGGGGAAGGAGGAGGAGGTGGCGGCGGCGGCGGCGCTGCGGGAACTGGGATGCGCCCTGGAGCCCCGCCGCTCGCTCACTCTGGGCCGGGCCGGGCCGGGCCGGAGGCTCCGCCACTCCTGCGACCGCAGCCGCCACCTCCTACGTGGTTCCAGCGCTGCGCGCAGGCCGGTCCCGCAGGAGGCGGGGCGGGGCAGGGGGCCGGCCGGGCTGAGCAAGAGGTGAGGCGGTGGCGGAGCGCGGCGTGAGTGTGAGTGAGTGCGTGCGATTGTGAGTGTGTGCGCGCGCGCGTGCGGGGGAGGGGGCGGCTGGGGCCGTCGCGGTGGGGAGAGGGCCCCCTCAGTGGCCACTTGGCTGACTCCGCACCGCCCCGACCCCTTCTCGGCCCCCCCCCCTCCCCACCGCCCTCAGGCCGCCTTCCTGAACTCCGCGGCTGGTGCTTTCATTTTATTTCAGACCACGTAGGGGGCTGACTGGAAGCGATGAAACAATTCAGGTTTTCGAGGCAGATTGAGCAAGAACCTTAGCGGGGGGTGGAAGTAGGGTGGGGGTGGAGATCCTGCCAGAAAACAAACAAAAAAAATCAGTTTCCAAGGACTGTGGGGTTTGGTTCAATCCCGTGGCTGCTCTGTTTTGTTTTGCTTTCTTAGTATATAATCCTACAGATAAGAGGGTAATATAAATACTTCGGGAGATTGGGAAATTGCTGAAGAGTAGTAAGGGGGAAAAAAAAAAAGCCAGTCGGAAGCTGGTTATATAATGCGCGATGTGGCTAACGAGAACGGCAAGCTATTTTTATTTTGTTTACCGTATGCTGTGCAGTAGGGACTCCTACAAACTGGTTCTGTCCCCGAAGAGATTCTTAGTTTCCCTGTGAGATCCACAGGATACAATTAGCAAAATTAGAAGACCCTATTAAACCCACAGAATAAAAATTAATGGCTTGGAGTGGCATACTCCGTGCACATCCTGGTGCATGCATGGGAATGTGTGTATGCAAATAAGTTCTTTGCCAATCTTGTAGTCACATCTCATTGACATTTGTGTTTTATAATGCAGGCTGTTCTTAATATTTAAACATAATCGTTACATATCGCTCACAGCAGCGGGTAGTTACTTTAAGGTTATTTTTAGGCACAGCTAGTTACTTTTTCGACAGTGTTAGCTAAGCTATTTCATTTGGGTTTCTGAGGAGCCCTGCAGTTCCTAGAAGCCCCTGTCTTAAGCCCACCGTGTGGTTTATTTGGTGGGTGAAGGTAGTTTGACACTTCAGCCTATTTTGGAATGCAGTGTTTGCCTGAAGAAACCACCAGAGAGAAGGATGAGAAAATCCTGCAAATGAACTCTTGGAAAGGGACTGCACCATAACGACTAATGCTTTGGCATTTAATCTCCTCTGATTGCCCTCTGTGCCTGCATCAGTCAATATTTTAGCAGCTCCACAGATAACTGGGCTTGAGTGCCACCTTCTACATAAAGCAGAGGTTGAAGGACTCCCCTGAACCTTCTGCCTTTCTCATCTCATAGATACCTGTCAGCGGGTGTAGGTTTTCGGTGTACTTACTCCAGCTCTGATCACTCATGTAATTAGATCAGGCTGCCATGGCAACAGACAGTGTTCCTCCGTCCATTCAGGTGGGTTTGTCTTGTGCCTGGACTACTCCCAAGTGTTTCATGCACAGTATTTGTGCTGCCCCAGCCAGATGAGAGACTTTACTATTTCAGCTGCATCTTCTTTCTGTCATTTTTGGACGGGAGACGCTGAATGATGCTTCTAGTTACTCAGCTTTTATAAAGGAGACCAACAAGCTGTGCTTACTGGGTGCAGTATGTAAATGCATCTCCCCAGACAGTGAGAGGAGCCCGACAATCCTGCTGGTGTTTATTGTGAACAGATCAACAAGTATTTGGTACTTGTTAGAAACCTTTCAGAGCTGACTAAAGCAGCATTTCTTTTGCAGGCTGTCTGGTGCCTTTGGCCTTGCAGGCACTTAACCCTTTCAAGTGCAGAAGAAGTCATCCTTTAGAACTCAAGTTGCCAGTAGTCGCGACTGGTTTTCTAACGGATTTATTCAGCGGAAGTAATTTATTCCAGAAGGATATCCCCGTTGTCAGATTTGAAAACTGGACGGCCGTCATAATAGCAAAAAAATGCTACTGATAGTAGGCAGTCATTCTGAATGTATTCATTCTTAACTTGGATTTCTTGGCCCTGATCGTTACCTTTGTGGTAGTAGGTTATAAGGTTTTTGTCTCAGGTAAGAGATGATGGAGGTCTATAGCTGGTAGACTGATAATGTATGGTGCTTTTGCACAATAACTTGTACTCTATTTGGGAATATAATTTCATGGGCATTTAATAATGTAGAGAACAGCATTTTTTTCTTTGTATTAGGGGACCACCTTATTAAGCCTGCTGAGCACAGAAAAATAATACTGTTGGGAAAAAAAAAAGGAAAGAAAAGTAGCTTTGGTTGCTGAAGCTCTCTGTTGCTCAGGCAATCCAAATAAGGGAGAGTATTTTAATAACTCTGATATTTGAAAGAAAAAATAATTGAGAATAATAATGTTTTGATGTCATTGTGACCCTGCCAGTCAGTTTACTGTTTTACAGCCCCCTAGTTAAATCCTTTTATTTTCCTCTGGGGCTAAGATTGTTGAGAGGGATCCTTAGTGCTCCTCACA